CCGGGCCTGGGCCTTGTTGCCCTGGCCGCCCCCGCCGCCGCCCTTGCCACCGGCCTTGTCTCCTGGCTCGGGCGCGTCGCGCGGGGCCCGCGCGGCCGCCGCTCCAGCTGCTGCCTCTGCCTTCTTGTCACCCTGCAGCAGCTCGCACTCCACGCTGGCGCGCCGAGACACATGTGACCGAAGTCTTGGCGCCATCAACTGATCGACCTCGGTCAGCGGCGACGAGTACTCTGCGTTTGAGTACGGGGCCGAGCCACTGGTCTTGCGCGCATCCACTAGCACATTCAATCGAAGGGCCGCCACCTCCAAACATGCGAGCCCCCCAGACTCACCTGCTTCATCGAGCATGTCACACAAGACTCGAAGTTCGTGGGCAACTCGAACCGTTGAACTGATCCCCCTTTCTCGTAAGAAGCGCTCCAGCCACCCGCGGGGAGAGCCCACCAAATTGATCTTACAAGGATGGAGGCAGGACCGATCGACCGACAACCTATGACTACCCCAGGCCACGCGTGAGCTCTCGGCGACTGCGTTCCTGAACTCCTTCCTCCTCTCACCCTGGTCATCCCAATCGATCCACAACGTACGCAAGTCGTTCCCTGCATCGCCTCCAGACTTGTCCTCGCCAGGCGGGCCCTCGTCGGCAAGGCCCAGCCTGTCCCTGAGGCGGTCCACGGCGGGCTCGAGACCGGATGGGGGAGGCGGCGGCGGCGCGTCTGCGCCACGCACCCCCACCTCGCTGGCCGCCGTCACAGGCATGGCCGCGAGCAGCTCGTCCGCCCTTCTGGCGGTCCAGTCAGCGATCATGCTCGGCACTACCCGTTCGAGCCTCACCCAGCGGCTTCGGTTCAGGAACGGGCAGAAGGCGCGGTCACCGTCGCGGATCGCGCCGTCGGGCAAGGGGTCCACGATCGTGCCGATGGGACTGTCGTGCAGCGGCTCGTCATCACCCATGGGTTCGCCTCGTGCATTCTGGCGGCGACTCGGCCATAGCACTATCCGCATGTGGTCCATGGCCTTCCCCGTTTAAGAGATTCGGACCAGGGCACCGACCGGCGGGTCAGCGCACCACCCCTCCTCCGCGGGCAGGGGGCGCAGGGCGCGCTGGGCCACCATCATCGTCGCGACGTCGGCGGCAAGCCTGGACACCCCAGAGGCCCCACACCACCAGGTTCGGCGCGACCAGCGCCAGCTGCTCTGCCCAGCGGTCTGTCTCGGCCGGGCACTCCAGCGCCGGCAGGACGGGGCACGGCGCGCAGCTCGTCACGCTCGCTTGGGCCAGCCGCAGTGCCTTCACGGCCTGCGCCAACTCTTCCACCGCAAAGCCCACTGGCCCAGGCGGTGGCGGCGGGGCAGGGACCCCCGGCTCGAGGCCACCCTCTGGCGCCTGCGCCCAGAACAGCCCCTGGCCCAGCAGCGACGCGATGGAGCAGACGAGCGTCGCCGCCGGGATCCGCTGCCCAGGCACCACCATGCGGGTCCCGGCTTCAAGACCAGAGACAACTTGAGTGAGAGAATGGTAGCGGCATGAGTACCAGCAGCGGCTGAGAGTGCCGCGCAACACGATGACATCACTTAAAGAGCCCCTCTGCTCAACCCGTTCTAAAACCTCCAGGCTTCCAAGACGGCCCGAGAGAGTCCAAGATGCATTAAAGTTCTTCCAAGAAGCCTCCAAGACGGCCCAAGATGGCTCCAAGATGGCCTAAGACTGGCCAAGAGGCCCCCAAGAGGCCTCCAAGACGTCCTCCAGGAAGGCCCGAAAGGGCAACAATCATTGATTTGTCTTCGGTGTTTGGAGGGTGTTTGCATGTTCTTCTTATCAGCTCTCGGACGGCCCAAGACGGCCCAAGAGGCCCCCAGCATCGTCCCAAGAGCTCCCAAGAGGCCTCCAAGATGGCCCCATTACAGCCCAAGAGGCCCCCAAGAGGGCCCCAACAAGAGCCCAAGACGGCCCAAGATGGCCCCGAAGACGCCGAAGATGGCCTCCAAGACGGCCAAGATGGCCTCCAAGATGCCTCCAAGACGTTCAAGAAGGCCTCCAAGACAGCGAAAATGGCCCCAAGATGCACCCAAGACGGCCCCAGATGGCCTCAAGATGGCCTTAGACTGCCCAAAAGGCCTGCAAGAGGCCTCCAAGACGGCCTAAGAGAGCCCTCCAAGACGTCCTCCAGGAAGGCCCGAAAGGGTCGAAATGGCCTCCAGACGGCCGAGATGATCTTCAAGATGCCTCCAAGACGGTAAAGATGGCCTCCAAGACGGCAAAGATGGGCCCAAGATGCACCCAAGACTGCCCAAGATGGCCTCAAGATGGCTTAAGACGGCCCAAACAGCGCGCAAGAGGCCTCCAAGACGGCCCAGGAGTTCTCCAAGACGTCCTCCAAGACGGCCAAGATGACCCAATTGAGCCCCAGAGTGCCTCAAGATGCTCCCAAGAGGACTCTTCCTTCCTTCCCCTTTTTCCTCACTCTCCTCCTCTTCCCCAACCTCATCCACGTGTTCCCCGAAAGCGTTCCAAACCGATTCGGGGAACACTCGTTCCGAAAGATTGGCAAGGATCTGACCCAACCTTCGGCCAGCAGGCCCCAAGACGCCTCCGAAAGCTCACAAGAGCCCCCAAGGGGCCCCGAACACGCCCATTCCTCACTCTCCTCCTCTTCCCCGCCCTCCCCCACGTGTTCCCCGAAAACTTTCCAAACCGACTCGGGGAACGCATGGTCCGATAGCTTGGCAGGGCTCTGGCCTCAACGGTCGGCCACATAAGCACTTCCGAAGGGGCAGGGGGCGGCGGTGACTCGCCGTAGGCGCCTTCGATAACGCCGACGTCTCAATATTTGCTGATGATTCCTATCCGCCCCCGCATGATGTTCCCAGATGCGCCAAGGCAGCGCCGAGACGCACCGACGCGACTGTGATGCATCCCATTATGATAGAGAGGGGGCCGGGGACAGGGGGCGAAGCCCTTACGGATAATCATAAAAAAACGTGCGGTGTTCAAAATCCGTCCGCGAGACCAGTAGGAACCGCGCGTATATACACTGGAATCAGAACTGATAGTAAGGATTCGCGGTAAGTAAGGATGTAAGCCAGCTGGACACACATGTCGAGGCTCTTCGAGCGGGGCTGGCCATCGGAAATGGTTAAGGATGGACTGAAGAGACAAGGATGCAAGGGCACCCCTGGGAAAGTTGCCCATCCTTAACCAACGGTTTCGACTGTACGGCCCCCCAATTTACGAGACCAGTGGGAACCGCGCGTACACACACTGAGGAATCTAGGCCCTGTCCCATGGGGCCTCACGGGCACGCCAGAGGACAGCGTATGATGTATGATTTTCTGGCGTGCTCTGCGGGCGACAGGTGTTTAAGAACATGTAGGCGCTTCGATGTGGTCGCCATTTGCCACTGAATGGTAGACAGATATAACATAAAGTGGGCATGCTCCTGGCCCCGAACCACCCTCGTGAGACGAACGTTCGCGCAATGCGTACTTTCGAAACCAACGCGGGATTTGTGTACGTGTACGTATTGCTTCGCTCATGAAGGACGGCGGCGACTGCGACGGCGGCGGCAGCTAGCGGGACAGCCATCGGGACAACCTTCCCTGAGATCCTGGCATTGCAATGTTTTTCGCAACGGGCGTTTGCGCCCAATTTCGGGCCCCGGGACCCTCACAGATCGATCCGGCTCGGAAAATGATGCAGAAAGATGGGGTCTAGGGCTCCGGTCGTGATTTGCTGCGATGTTGCAATGTTTGGGCAACGTCGGATCTCAAGGTTATGAAGAACATCCTGGAGACCTCGCGCAGCAACTTGAACCCCACATGAAGTCGAATCCACGTCGGATGTACGTCGGATGTCGGAGAATCGCCGCACGAACGTCGACCCGTAACCTACGGGGCGGATGCGTGGACTGAATGATTCAACTATTGCGCGCCGCGCGAAGCCTCCAGGACTTTCTCCGTACACAATCGTCGGGAGAACCACCGGGACAACCGTCGGTTGGCGGCGCGCACAAGGGGGTAGGGGGAGGGGGGAAGGTTTCATCAAAGGAGGCAGCTTCTTAGAAGGCGCGGGCCTTACATCTATAATCTATAGATCAGGCCCGCGCCTTCTGAGAAGCAACCTCTTCTAGGAAAGGCTTCCCTCCTCCTCCTCTTGCCCCCCTCCTCTGCGCGTGGACGAGTCGGGGCAACCGCGGGGACAAACGGCAGGACAACAATCGGGACGACCGCGGGGCAACCACGGAAAAAAACCGAGGGACAACCCCGGACACGCCGCAAGGCACGCCCCGGCGCACGGGCAAGCGACGCCCTCGGGCGCGACCTGGGCCCAGCCGGTGCAGTCTGACGCAAGCCCTCGCGCTTCGGGCGCGGCCTAACCGACCCTCGGCAAACCATCCCCTTCCGTGACGTCACCCTCGCCTTTCAAGCTCCCTCCTGGCCGCGTACATACGTTTTGGGGCGAGGCGAGGGGGGCGTCACGGAAGGGGATGGTTTGCTAGGGGTCGGTCAGGCCGCCCCTGAGCACTGCTCCGCATCGCCGGCATGCGCGGGACGAGCCCATCGGGGGCGCACGGACCCCCGTCGATGCGGGCCCGGGTCGGTCGGGCTCTGCAGCATCCTGCAAGGTCCAGCGCTCTGGCTGACCCCCGTTTGCATGGACCCCCGCCCCCAAGCCTCCCGAGCCAAAGCCGAAACCGATGTCCCGGCGGGGCGACTCGGTCTCACCTCGGCCTCGCCCCCCGAACATCCACCGCTCACCCGCGCCACCCGGCGCCGACGGGCCCACGGGCCCGCGGGCTCGTGACTGCCAGACGGCTCGACGCGAGGGTCGAGGGGGAGAACACTTGGCGGTCTGGCCCCGGATCAACAGTACCCACTTCTTCCCCCGAAGGACACATCGTTCCGACCAAAAACAGCAACGGAAACGATGAGGAGGAGGAGGGGGAGGAGGAGGAGGAGGAGGAGGAGGAGGAGGAGGAGGAGGAGGAGGTGGTGGTGGTGGGCGCCGTCTGCAGTGTTGTCAGCCGAGACTCACGACAGCAGGCTATCGAATATGGGGCCCCAGTCGCTGTACTGCAACCGAGGTTCCGTGAGAGGCTCACACGTGCAGCAAACGAAAAGGGAAGGGCCCCCCTGGGATCACCCACTGCGCACCTGGGGCATGCTAGCCCAACCACGAGGCGGCAGCGGGGCCCAGGAGGGTCAGCCCTCTCACTTCGCCCTGCGCACCGCCCAGACGAGGGTCCGCCGGTGGTCGAGCGTGAGGGCCGAGTAGATGGGCACGTCCACGGGCGTAGAGTACAGCGTCACGAGCTCTGCGATCAGCGCCGCGCGTTCGCCAGACTCGCCCTCGTCCGCGGGGGGCGCAATCGCGCCTGCAGGTCCAGCAGCGGCCACAGCGAACGCCGAGGCAGCCGCGGGCGCCCCAGGAGGCACCGCCGCCGCGCCAGGCGCCACATCTCCAGTCGCGCCAGCCCTGGCCACAGCGGCCTTCTGCCTGCCACGCCGCCGCGGAATGCGGGGCGGCAGGGAGTCGGCCCAGCTGTCGTCGGTCATCCCGTCCTCGTCCTCCATGGCGGCCGCGCACGCTGCGCCTCCAGAGGCCGCAGCAGCCGCAGCCACCGCCAGCACTCCAGCAGGCGCCTCGGTGCCACCGCCATCCCGGCTGAGGCAGGGCGCAGCTACAGAGGCAGCAGCCGGATGGCCGCGCGCCTCCCGCCGCCGCGCCGCGAGCCGCTCGCGCCGCCGACGGCGGCGGGCGCGCCTCGCATCGTCCTTCTTCGCATCGTCCACGCTGTCGTACCCAGCAGCAGCAGGCGGCTCAGGCGGGCCAGCGCTCACGAAGAGCACGGCCGACACCGCCGAGCGGGTGACAGCTGCTACCGTCCTCCGAGGCGCTTTCGCCTGCACCGCCGCGCGAACAGCCGCCTCGACGAGGCAAGCAGCATCGAGCGCGGCCCGAGCCCCTCTAGGCCACGACATGTCGCTCGCGGGACGCGTCCAGGCCATGCAGTCGCTTGAGCCAAAATGTGAGGAGGAGGAGGACGACGAGGAAGCGAAAAGGAGGCGGAAGGGGAGGAAGCGAACAGGAAAAGCGAGGCGAAGGAGGGAGCGAGGAGGAGACAGCAAAAAGGAAGAGGGAACGAGGAGGAAACGAGAACCTGGAGCGAGGAGAAGAAGCGATGGAGGAACGAAAAACATGGACCCGACCCTGGCCCAGCCGTTCTGCCGGCACGCCGCGGCTTCCGCGGGGGCGCCCGCCGCGACCCCCGCCGCGCCCGCGGGTTCGCAGCAGAGGCCCTCCGCCGCGCCGCAAGCGGTGAGGGCGTACTCCGCGCCCAGGTCCTGCTGCAGGCAGTGCGGCTGATGGACAAAATCCTGCACTGTTTTGTCGTGATTTGATATCTTTCTAACATGTTGGCGATCACCCAGGTTATCCCTAGGGGGAGGGCGGGGGGGTTGCCGACCGATAACCTAACTTTTTAACTTTGGGGGGCCCCACGCATGCCCGCACGAACCAACACCGCGCACCCATTCGGCCCTGCGCACCCGACAGGGTCAGGCTATCGGGGGGGAGGGGGGGCGGGCGATCGTGCCCCATAACCCAGGCTATCGCCAGACCCTGAAACATACCCCTGCGAAGAACCCAACCCATTTTACACGCGCGGGAACTATCAACTCGTTGAGGGGCCCGCAGCACCCCTGAGGCACTCGCCAGAGAACGTCAGACCGCGCTCGACACGCACTCCCGCGACTCAAACCACACACGGGTAGGTGACGATGCATGCAGCACGGCGCACGCGGGCACAGGAAACAGGATGAGTGATACTGTGACGAACGATTAATAGCTCAAGCGCAACGCGCGGGAGCCCAGGCAGTGGGCGGCACGATTGCGCCACCAGCTCACGATTCCCTGGCCAGCACAAGTTCCGCAGCACGGGTGAACTCCTCAAAGCCTAGCCTCCCGACTCTTCGCTCCTTGCTTTGTGAAGCAACCATGCGGACCCTGCCCCTGCGGCCTTCGGTGGAGCCCCCATGGGGCCACGAAGCGTAAATTGCGTGTGTGCCAAAATGGGCCCGAATATCCCGAAACGTGTGAAGGGTGGATCAAGATAAGATGGGCCCCAATAGTCATGCGGGCCCTGCCGATGGAATAGTCATGCGGGCCCTGTCGATGGCACCTTCGGTTGAGCTCCCTACGGGGCCATGAAGCGTGCTGACGATGCGGCAAACCCGCGAACTTGTGCCGAACAACTTCCCGAATAAATAGAAAACCTAACATTGACTGTTTGGCCGCGATTGAACCCGCGAACTTGCGCCGAACAACTTCCTGAACAATCTCTGAAAATCCCACTGCACATAAGCCCGCGAAGCTGTGCCGAACAAATTCCGGAACAAACAAGAACTCAACTTGCAACGAACCTTAAACGATCCAGCGAACGGTTACACTTTCGCGCATGCTTTCTCTATCAAGCTCGCAACATTTCAAGGGCTAAGCTGAACGTCACTGTACGTTTGTTTGTTTTCTATCTACCTCGCGACCTGCTCGCTCAAATAATGGTGTTGATGATTTCTTCCATAATGACAGACAAAAAACTTAAACAAAAATTGTCTGAACAAATTGAACAACAGTCAACAATTCAATACCAAAACACACTTCAACAATGCATGATCTATGATAACGGTTCACACTTGGAGAATTCATGCACATTTGAAGACATATGCCTTCTGACAAACATTGCACCAGAACGAATGTCAATGTCAAACAAACAGGTGGGATTCATGATAACGATTTTAGGACAACAATAGGAACTGTTTGCAAAATTGCGACAACAATGCACAACGACGGAAATAATAGATCGAGCAAAACATGCACACGAATACACTTTTTAGAACCATAAAAAACACAATTTGCTCAATGTGTAAAAAGGCGGTGCAGAAAGGCAGGCAGGCCAGGCTCGAACACTTCACGTTACACTAGCACAAACAAAACTCAAAATATTCCGGCGTGCTCGTAATGATGGTCTGGCCGGTTGCGTACTCAATGTGCATTTTTCCAGCTGCTAAAACAAAACAGTGCTGGTTTTCAAAATCACGATGCGCATTGCTTTTTTTTCGTCCGGCCGTGCAAGACGGCAGCCAAGTCAGGCTCGAATGATTCACCGTACACTGGCACAAACAAAACTCAAATATTCCGGCGTGCTCGACTTCAAAGGTTCGCTGGTGTCCTACTCACTTTGCTATTTTGCAGCTGCTCAAACAACAACAGGATTCAAAATAGCAACGCACATTGCTTTTCGTCTGGCGATGCAGAACGGCAGCCAGGCCAGACTCTAAATACTTCACCGTACACTGGCACAAACAAAACCCAAAATATGTTGGCGTGCTCGAGACGAAGGTTTGCCTGGTTTCGTACTCCAAGTGCTATATTATGAATACTCCGACCAAAAATAAGGCATTCAAAACAATTCTGGAACCGAACAAAAACATATGTTGTAACAAGAATACACAATTGGAGCAATACACAATTATAACAAAAAACGCACTTTGAATCGTCCAGCCGTGCAAGAAAAGGCAGCCGGGCCAGGCTCGAACACTTCACCGTACACTGGCATAAACAAAACGCCAAATATTCAGGCGTGCTCGAATTGATGGGTGGCTGGTTTCGTAGTTAATCAGCTCGTATTCCATTTGCTATTTTACAGTTCCGCAATCAGCATAACAATGTGACATGGAAAACAATAATGCACAACTTAAAACAAACACCAAAAGCGCGAACTTATGCATACTGCTGAAAAGAATACGATTGAAGCAAAACACTAGTTAAAACCAAAAGGGCGATTTGAATTACGATGTGCTTTGCGTTCCGCGGTACAGAAACGCAGCCAGGCCAGGCTCGACGATGCAATGATAAAAAAAAGTCAGACTTGCTTTGCACGTATAGAAACATAATCTTGAAATGCGATGATGCGTATATAAAGTATTAACGAACCTCCTGCTGAAAACAAATGGTGTGGCTTCGTTGAAAAAAACTGGCGTCTGCTCTTTTGACTGCTCTTCCTCGTCTGCTCTTCTGCCGTCCCCCGCTGCTTCTGTGTCTCACCATGTTCTCCTTTTCCGCCCTCCCCCCGATACGATGATTTCCCACTCCCAGCCGCGGCCACAGCCGCAGCCAGGGCTGCGAACACGGCCGCGGCCGCGGCTGGAAGAGAACCCTCACGAACAAATTGCGATGCATTCCCCCTCCCAACCGCGTCCGCCTCTTCACTCTTACCGTGGTCCTCCTCGTTGTCTTCCCGTGTCCTTTTCGTCCTTGTCCATCGTTCCTTTTTCACCCGCCCTTTCCGCCTGTCTTCCACTGCTGAAATTTCATTCCCTCCCACACCTCCTCATCATTCTCACTGCGGTCCTTCTCGGTGCCTTTCCCGCGGGTTCCTGTTCCTTTGTCACCACAGCCTGTTTCATCTGCCCTGTCGCCTGCCATCCCCTGCAATCCTCGCTCCTTCTCATTACGTCACCCTTCCCTCCTCGATTATCATGTCTCCTGCTCCTTCCTGCTTCTCACCATCTCCGCTTCTCTCGTTCTCACCGCCGTCCGCCCTGTCCACCTCGTCCTCCTCCTGCATTATTGTCATTCTCACCATGGTCCTCCTCGTTGCCTTTCCCCTGCCTTTTTTCACCCGCCCTTCCGCCCGTCCTCCGCGGTCCCCCTCCCCCCGCCCCTCCTCGTTACATCGGATATTCTCCTCCCTCCAGTCTTGTTTCCCCTGCTCCATCCCACAATCCCACTCCGCCTCCCTCGTTCCCACCGCCATCTTACTTGCCCTGCCCTCCATCCCAGCACCCCTGCATCTCTTCATCATTGTCAAGGTGGTTAGTCTCGTTGCCTTTCCTGCGGCTGTCGCTATTCCCTGACGTCTCACGCTTGCTCTTGCACATGCGACGACGACCACTAATACGTCTACAACTTCTTCGGTTACTACTACGACTACTACTACAACTACTACTACTACTACTACTACTACTACTACTACTACTACTACTACTACTACTACTACTACTACTACTACTACTACTACTACTACTACTACTACTACTACTACTACTACTACTACTACTACTACTACTACTACTACTACTACTACTACTACTACTACTACTACTACTACTACTACTACTACTACTACTACTACTACTACTACTACTACTACTACTACTACTACTACTACTACTACTACTACTACTACTACTACTACTACTACTACTACTACTACTACTACTACTACTACTACTACTACTACTACTACTACTACTACTACTACTACTACTACTACTACTACTACTACTACTACTACTACTACTACTACCTACTACGACTACTACTACTACTACTACTACTACTACTACTACTACTACTACTACTACTACTACTACTACTACTACTACTACTACTACTACTACTACTACTACTACTACTACTACTACTACTACTACTACTACGACTACTACTACAACTGCTACTACCACTTACTACTACCACTACGGCGACTACTACTAC